CAAGAAAAATCTGGGTGGTGACGGAGGGATCCCGGGCTTTTCATCAGGAGCCCCTCACGGCGGAGGGGGCGGCAGCGGAGGCGACGCAGGGGGCGACGAGAAGGGGAAAGGCGACAAGGACAAGAACGCCAACAAGACAGCTTCCTCCCATGCTCCCCCAATCCTCGCTAGGTGCCCTAGTTTTTCTTGTGGGTCTAGTTCCCCTTCGGTTGGAAGGGAACGCGTGCACTACCAAGAAGGCGTTCGTTCCTCCTCGCCGTATTCGTTTCCTTTCTCCTTCAGGTTTAGGGCCCCGTGAAGGTAGCCCCAAGCCGGTCGAAAAGCCGATCGAATATTTTCTTCGGCGCCAGCTTGAACAGTCAGCTTCGACCGAGGTGGAGCCCCCGAAGAAGTCGCATGAGGCTGCGTTGCCGGACGCACTGAGGGCCGATGACTCCGGTGCCCTTTTTGACAACCCTGTGCCTTTTGTTGCCGGGTTTTCTAGTTCTAGTTCGGGTTTAGGCCCGACGCCAGCCGCCACCTTGATTGGGATTCCAACCGGGCGAGCCCTAATACGCCTGAGGCCCTGCAGAACGGCTCGCTTCCGTGCGGTTCGCCTTCCGAGGTAGCTGGCGGTGACGCTGTTGATATTCCTGGTTCAGCTTGCCTGCGAGCCGACCCCCGGACCACCTATCTGCGTAAGCAACCTGCCCGACATCTGCGAAAGCAACCTGCGCCCCAAAACCCAGCCCCAAAACGCGGCCGCTCCCGTGTGAGCCGCCGGGCCTTGCACATCCGGTCTGTGCTGAGCCGAAGCCCGCTCCTCCGCTGCGGGGCGCCCAACGAAACTTAAGTAAGCCCTGTGAGCTTTGTGGAGTGCATGGTTTGGCTCGAGATGATCGGGGGCCTACCGTTTCGAAGAGAGGCGGTCTGAAGCTTTGACCGATGCCGGTTCCCTCCGCGCATTCTGCTCGCTGAACCTGCTCTGTCACGACCGCGTTCCTGCACGCCCCAGGTCAGCGCTTCTGGTGACTCGAATGGTCTTTCTGGTGCAATCCTTGACTTACTTTGCACCTTGCCCGCCGGGCGCTTTGCGTACTCCTCGGTCTTCCCTGACCTCCACACTGCTCTTGCCCCTGGACCGGGTTGGTTGGATTTGTTTTCAGGGTCGCGAGGGCTTGCAGGGAAGTCGTCCGCGCCGTGCCATGGTGGGTTCTCTGCTATGATATCGCTCACTGCGAAGATTTGCTGCGGACTGAAGTTCAGAGGGAAAGTTTCTTCCTGCTGAATGGTGGGGCCTTCAGAGGCTTCAAAGCTGGTCCTGTATGCAGTAGTTTTTCCTCTGCGATTGTTCCCAGCTGGTGGACGCATGAATATCCTGGAGGAGTCGCTTCGCTGAGTCCAAACCAAAGAGCGAAGGCCCAGAGCGGCAACGAGATGTTAAACCTTATCGCGAACCTCATTCGTGCTGCTGAAGATTCCGGGCTGTTCTACCTTGTCGAGAATCCGGAGAACAGTTGGTTCTAGCGACAGCCTGCCTGGGAGCATTGGAGCCGGCGAGCCGCTGGGTGGGACTTCTACTGCGTTTTCGGAACTCAGCTGCAGGGACAACGACTTCGCTGCTCGCGCGATCACAGGCACCTCCACCCGCTGGGTAGACGAATGGTCTGGGAGCGAAGGTAGCACCTATGCCATTGCGGTCCCTGTGATTCTGATTGAGCTCCTTTGGGCTTGCGGGCGGGTCCTCTACAGCAAGGGGAAACCTTTACAGCATTACAGGCAGCTGCTGGCTGTCTCTGAACGAAAGGTGCCCTTGGTTCAGCCTTTCAATCGACAGGCCGGGAGATGCTGACGAGATGGGAGCGCCTCGAGCCCAAGAAGCACCGGCCCCCACTGCCTGAACTATTACTCGAGGCAATGTGTGCGCTTGTTATTGCTTGGGGATGGTACCGCTAGACCGCTGTGACGCTTTTGGGGTTCTGCGGCTGTTGCAAGATCGGTGAGCTTCTCACTGCTTCGAGAGCTGACTTGTTTACGCCAGGTGACTTGTTGTGCGACGATTTCAGGTTTGCCCTCCAGTTCAACGAGCCGAAGACCCGCACGCGAGGTGCTCGAGTACGACATACAACAATGTAGTTTGGAGCAAGCATGAGTCATTTCATTTGCTGGGCGTTTCGATGTCGGCCGCGTCAGTCGAAGCTGTACTTCGGCTCGCCGGCTGGCCAAGTTACTTCCACACTTAGCCGATGTGAAGCAAAATTCGGCCGGAAGCACATAAGTGTTAAACATGAGAAAGCATGTCGTTTGATAGTGGTTTTGCCGACACTTCGGCTCGCGGTTAGCAACCCTCTCGATGGGCGTGGGGTCGTACGTCGTTTCGCCACTAGCTTCCCCGCACGAACGCAAAATACGTTTAACCTTCTTGGTGGGCGCAAAGGGGCCGCAATGCTTCTGCACTCATCTGCTTCGCAATTGCAACAAGGCAGCAAAAAGTCCTGAAACAATTGGAAATCGCAATCCTCTTCCCCCGTAGTTGGCTGCAAGACGCTACTGTAGCTTGCCACAGCAGTGATCCCGCAAACCAGCTGTTGAGTGGGGAACGGCCGGCATGTCCCTTCAGTTGGGCGGCAACATGGGCAACATGTCAGTCAAAACAGCAGAATCATGTCATGAGCATCATTGGCATGCTGTGGATCGGCGTAGAATCATGTCAGGCAAAACAAAGGAGAGCACTATGAGCATCATGGCATACCGTGGATCTGCAGAGGCGGTTTGCGCCCAGCAACCCCGAGCAGTACCGACGACCTCCCCCTGGCCACCGACACAAACCCAACTGTGATGATGAGGCTGGCCCCGGCGGAACACGTGCATAGAGCTCTGCGAGCACCACTGAAGCCGAAGTCTGCCCAAAACCGTGCGACTCACGATATGCTGAAACTGTGCAAATCCAGTTTGGTGGCGAACCCCACGGCTTTAAAGGCAGCCCCAACAGCACTAGCATTGCCGGCAGGAAGGATGCAAGGCAATATGAAAGCAATGAGTACTTTTGACTGGAACTCATGTTCCAGATCAAGACGGTTTCCAAGACACAACCAGTCGGTGAACATTTGGTCCTCTTGACACATTTTTTGGTGTGTGATGGTTGGGGCTATATTATATGTGCTTTCGCCTTGCATGCAGATGCAGATCCATGTCATGTATGCAGGTGGAAGCTCGGACAGCCGATGTCAGCGCTTTGCAGAAGGCTTTGTGGACTTGGTCGAACTCTGTCTTTTCCTACTCGCTGTGTTGGCATGCCCGCCCACAAGCTCAAACCTGCCCGTCCGGTGGACCGTCCCGAAAGCACGATAGTTCTCTGCAACCTGGTCTCTGCTGTGCCAGGTGGCGGGAGTGGTGGTGGTAGTAGTGGTGGTACAGTGGTTTGTTGTTGTTGTTGAAGTAGTAGTAGTAGTAGTAGTAGTAGTAGTAGTAGTTGTTGTTGTTGTTGTTGTCGTCGTCGTAGTAGTGCTAGTACTCGTGCTAGTACTGGTACTGGTACTGGTACCTAGTACTAGCACTAGTACTAGTA